ACCCTTGTTCACAACACACCTGCAATATGAGGCCACAACTGGAGCCTAATTTATCAGATTTTATCAAAAAAAAGTAAAGGTAAATCTCATCCCAAGAATGGTCACAATTCAGACAGCCACAAGTCCAGTTTTTAATAGATCTGAAAAGGTAATAACTCATACAACGTTAAGCCAAAATAAATTTTTCCAAAATACCTATCAAACTGCAAGATTTGGGGAATAAAGTTTCTATCTTTTCAACAATTACTGAGCACCAGCCGGGCATTTAGCTATCTTTGTCCACCAGCTCAGCAGGCCATTTTAAAGTCTGAGGTGTTACCTAAAATTTCCTATTAGTTAGCAATGTCAGTAAGACTAGATATGTCAAGTTAGCAGGTTAATGTCCACACCAGGGAAGAGCCTTCTCCATCAGCAGGAATGTCTGGGTGGGTCCCCTTCACCAGTCACCGTGGCTGCAGAGAGCTCACCTCGGGGCAGTGCCGGGCTCTCAGTGAGAAGAGCATGGGTGAAGGCAGTCCACCCGAACCACCACCAGCCACTCTCCTGTACCTCACTGCACTGTTCTGAGGCTAACAGGGAGTATAGAAATTTAGAGAGATCCTAATAAAGACAAAGGCTTCTTAGAATTACTAAGCAACTGGCCCAAAGTCATGGAAGAACACCAAAACTAAAGTTCTAGCCACATCCTCCAAATTTAACACATTACAACATCTTGAAAACAGGGTATTCCATGTGTCAAAGGTCACTCCCAGTCTCCACACGCAGATTAGAATGCATTGTCACTTTAAGTTGTGTGTATCTGAAGTAACAGCAAGATAAAACAGCCTCCTCCGTCCCCTCCCAGGACTGGGGCAGCTGCATCCACGGAACCCCCTACTCAGCACTCCAGGTAAGGAAAGAGCAGGCAGGTAACCCTCGCAGCCTGCAACACACCACACCAGCACTCCGACACAGAATCTGTTTTATCGAACGTCTGCTCGCTTGCTCAGAGACCAGACCGGGCCTAGCAGCCCTCCCCTACGTCGGAGAGATGAGCACCACCCAGTGAGGCCTGCTCACATTCCCCGAGGGAAAAGTGTGTCCAGGGGAACACAGAGGCTGACTGACTTCGGTGTTGTGTCCAATCAGTAAGATACACTAATAACTATAGCCATCTGAAATCAGTAATAATCTAGACCCGCAAATTAGCCCATGCTGTAACAAACATGAGATATGTAGTAAGAGTCAGGAATATTCTTGTTTCGCCTTCTCAGAACAGAAGGCGTGCTGTTCGTGGACCAGCCCATTGGTGGCTCCTGGATGAGGGAGCTGGACAAGAAGGCTCTGGCTGAACCCCCTCACCTCCAGTCCCCCCAGCAGGGACCAGCAAGCCCCCGCATGACTCCCAGAAGCACCCAAGAGGAGTGCAATGACAGCTGACAGCCACAGTCTCAGCACATGGACATGGCAAAGTCTAACAACCATCATTATGACGACGTCCAGGCAGACCTGAAAAGGCCCGGGGCTGCCCCCTGCCCCAGCTCTCTGTGGAGCCCTCCAAAGGGCGAGGGGTGGGGGCCAGGCAGTAAGGGAGGACCACCGACTAAGCAGAGAAGAAGTGTGAAACCATCCGCACCCGGCACAGCCGAGCCCCTCTGCCCACGCCTCCAGCTGAGCCCAGCAGCCTCCCCAGACCCCCGGCTTCCTTGCAGCCACGTGCTGACCAGCTGGGGTCTGTCTCTGCCAGGGAAGGCAACCCCCAGGAGGAAAAGACTCACCTGCTCACTACCTGACCTCATGGCGAGCAGTCACTGGGTGTGGAATCAAGCAAGCCAAGTTTCGCTAAAATATTTTGCCTATGACCTTGTCATTAGTGGTCTACAATCCCTATAACATGACATCAAACATTATCATTCTGGAAATACTTTATCCTTGCACTGGATAACTTGATTTGTTAACAGAAACCACTTAAATGGTCGGCTATCCTTTTAAATGTAAGCAGTTGGTAAATATTTTATATTATTTTATTCAATACTAACATTACCAGTCTTTGCTGCTGCAAGCTATTGCGTACATGGTTGTGACAACGTCCTTTCCCAGCTAAGTGCTGTCAACCACACGCCTCAGCATCAGTTACAACCCACCTCCTTTTTTAGTCTATGACTTCAAACACTGAAAACACCCACAGGTTCAATTCTCAAAGTTTTCCACAGAATTATGTCAATGAAAAGTTTTAATCATTTTTACTAAACAATAAAAGGACGAAATAAGTTTATTATTCTCACATATCAAAACCTCTAGGGAATTTCACAGCTGACAAGATGCCTACATAAAAACCACACTAAAGTCCCCTATCCACAGACAATTTAGTCATCAGTATCTTTTAGAGCTCAATTTTAGTTACATTCACTGGCAGTCCCCAAATCGAGGAAACTTCTATGTCGTGATCATCACAGAAAAAAACTCCTCTATGACAGTTCACAGAGGTAGTGTCCCAAAACCATCAGGACACAGTGATGATCCAAGGCAGCCCCAGACATGCCATGGAGCTCCTTCTCCCTGACAGGCCAGCTGCACGTGGGCAGCAGTGCAGGCCTGACCATCCCCCCTGCAGATCCAGGCAGCCGGCGAGACCAGGAGAGCCCTAAGAGGGCTTTCTCACATGGAGGGCGACCTGCACAGAGCCCCTGGGCCTTGTCCCTTCCTCTTCACTGAGTCCTGGGGCACTGACCTGGGGCTGGGGCTCCAGAAACTGTGGTAGCCGGGTGGCCTCAAGAAGGCAGCCAGGTGCAGAGAGAGGAAGGAGGGATGAGAAGGTGCGCTAGCCCCCAATGTGTTCAGACCACCAGTACTTCTGGTATTTGTTGCCAAACCTAATCTTGATGCATTAGCCTGCCACTCTCCAGCTGGGGGAAGTCCTGTATGATTGCCAACCTCATTCTCAGCTGAGGACCCCAATGTACAGACCGCTGTGGGACCCAAGGATGTGCGCCCGGAGCACCATGCCCAGAGCCCAGAGTAGAGCTTCCGACTGCTCTGCAGGTTGGCTTCCAGCCTTGTCTTAGGTTTCACCATCGACCTGGGTTTGCTGTGGTGCATGGCAAGTCCATGGCAAGCAACGGGATCTGTAGACACAGCGAGCCTCTGCCAGTGTGTCTGAGAGGCACGATCCTGAGCCACCAGCGATGGGCACTGGCTCACACAGGTCAGGTGTGGCTCTGAGAGCAATCTGGAGGAATCTCACCTGATGCAGCCCAATGGAGCAAGCGCTGAACAATTCACTTTCTGGTTATCTTAAGAAAGATGGAAATGTGAGACCCAAGTTTTCAGTGAATTTTCATTTTCATCATGAAACTACTGGAGAACAGAATTCTGAAGCATTACTTTTCTAGTATACTTTTTTACTAAAAATTAGAAAATAAAGTTCATTGAAAAATAAGAAAAGATAGCTCTCCTTTACAATCATTACCTGATCAGAGTCCAAACCCATTCAAAAGGTAATGCCTGACTTTTCAATTTTTAGTAA